CTTGTGTGTGTAAAGATAGGATTAATATGGCCTCCCTCCATGAAGCAGAACTCCACTCTGCCTCTTGTGGGCAAGGGTAAAAATTTAAGTATGGAATATCAAAAAAATGACTGGTATTTGAGTATGTAAGACCCTCTTGTCTCTACTGAACCTTGAAAGATGCCATTGGCTGTTCCAGCAAAGTGAGGTGTATCGCTCTGTGAAACAACTGCAGGTTGCATGTGCCGCAGGTGACACAATCAGCTGCAAGACCACGCTGCCACTGAAGGGTCCTTCTGCCTCTTTGGGCTCCCTCGCCGAGACATTGCTTGCTTATACAGCGTCATAAGCACTAGTCCTGAGATGCAGGACGATTGGAAAGGTGGAGAACTGCTCGTTTTGGTGGAAGTACAATCTTAAATTAGATTAAATAGTTCATGAAACCACACCCTTTGTTAAGTTGCAGTTCTGTCTGTACAGTTCACTGTTGACAAAGTATGCCTTGGTTTTCAGTAAAGCATTGGATTGTTTGCCAGGAGTAAAGCAGTGAAGGCAGTAGCTAAAAAGACAATGAGATTGATAGAGTGAAAACAAAAGCAGCGTTTGGTTGGCAGAATTGTTACGCCTGTGCCAGAAGGTGCCTCACTGGCTTGAAGACTGCAGATAGAATTTAAAAAATTGGTTGTTTGCTCATGTTTTCACTGAACTGCAATTCATGAATCTGAATATCCCTGCTAATTCTAGTCAAAAGTATGGAACCATGTTCTTGCTTTATAAATATATTGTTTTAATAAGTGCAAAATATCCTCCATTACCTGTTTTTCATGCTGCCCAATTGAAGAAGTCAGTATTGTTTTGTGTGGTGGGTTTTTGTTTTCCGGAGTTTGGTTTTGTGCGGGCTTATGTCAGATCTATAGAGCATTTAGACTTGCAAGAAAGTAAGTATCAGTGTGCTGCATTTATTTGATGACATCGGAAGTATTAGACATAACATGTAAATCTCCCACCACAGTGAGTCTGTTCTCTCCTTTTAAAAAAGGAAGTGGCACACTGTTTCATTGATCTGGCTGCTACTACTTGCTCAGTGTTTGATCCTCAGCATTGTGTCACTTGGTAGAAAAGAGATACAGAACACACTGCATGGAAGCAGGCAGTATTAAAGTACAAGGAATGTCCATCTGGCTCATTGATTCAGTGAATTTCTGTATGCTTTTTGCTTTTTTTTCTCTGATTTTTTTTTTTTTGTTTTATTTTGGGGTTTTGTTTTTTTGGTTGTTTCTTTTGGCCATGTCCTCTTAGATATCTTTTTCAAGAAGAGTCCTTAACGTTGTATCTTCTGCATGCTTTCAGAGTTCAGCAGTATGGTGGTGGCTTTGAGGATTGGGTAAAACATGAACCTCCAGAGAAAAAATGAAGATGACTACCCCAGCCCTGGCTGCATCAAGGCTTCAGAGTGTTTTGTAGGTTTTGGCATTCAAACTACGTGCATTCCACTTCCAGCATACAGCCCACTACTGTTTTTGTGAGTCAATAGACATTCACCTGCAAATAGCCATGCGTATTAACTGCTTGGTTTAAATTATATCTAAAGACTATGACAAGAACAGAGGATGTTAAATTTGTTCAGTCTTCACTTTGGGCTGTGTTTCTAGTGAAAGTACATGAAGAGAACCTAAGTGCTTATTATGTTTACCAAGATTTTTGTATGATGTAGTTTATGACTGTTTAAACTAATGATGATGGGACAAATAAAATTACCCTTTCCCAAGTAAATGTGTTGAGTAGTTTGTTTAGAATAGTTAAACTGCAGGTACTCTAACAGAATTGGGGTAACTGCCCTAAGCACAGATTTATTATACTTCATGTGTAGCTGGAGTTTTAAAGTAGTTGCTGTTTTTTCAAAGAGTACAAGTAGAGCACAAATTTTTAGGTTTGTACTGTGTGATTGTAAGACAAAAACTTCACTACTGGTCAGAAAATACAAAAGGAAACACCTGATGCTAGAATACTCGCTGTTCAAGGTGGTGTGCAATTCTTTATTTTAAAAGTACATCTATTTTTATACGCAGATCTGCTTCTGAGCACAAAATGCTACAGCATTCAGTCAACAACTTCTGTTCCCTCAGCAGCTCAGTATCAAGTGAGAACTTGCCTATATTTGAAGTTATTATTACAGAGATGTAATCATTTTAGGCTAGAAAATTTGAGGTGTCCAAGGAAGTAACTAAACTCCCTTCCTCCTTTTATGTATGTTAATTTGCATGTCAGACGTTCAAAAACAAACCAACCCACCCCATCCCCACCTCTAAATTTGCATAGGTGTAATTTTAAGGATTTTTGGGTGGGTGAGTGTTTTTTTTAATGCCGTTAGCAGTTCAGGGGAACTAGCAAAGGTGAATTGCTTTGGCCTCTAGACAATTTGAGTCCCGGCACAAGTTCAGAATTCTGCAGGATGTCTGGAAAAGGGAATCTAAATTTCTGGTTCTGTTCTAATCAGTATTGCAGGCAATGTGCACCTACCCTTCTGCTCTTCCATTCTGACACTGCAGTCTGCACGGCGAGAAGAGAACCTAAAGAACATACCCTCTCGAGTTTAGAGAACAGAGGAGAAAAACTAACTAATCTTACTAGAATTTTATTTCTAATGAGTCCCGGAGCCATTTGCTTCTAGAAAACTGCCGTAGTTGGCACAGCCAGCTGTGTTAGTTGTGCTGCCCTGACCATGTATCTTAGAGGGGTTTCTGTTCTCTCGTCTTTGCTATTAGAGACCCTGTAGCATAGCTGTCATAATAGCAAGTAATGAGTGCATTTTTCTTCAAAGTATCATTGACTTTTTAGCAGTCTTATTGCTATACTTTATTTCCAATCCATAAAAAAACCACAACTTTAGAACTAGAATTTAGACTAATTCCCAAAATACTAGTTTAGTTTAACTGATGAATTAATGGGAGTAAGATGAAATTAAAACACCAGGATGAACCTTGTTGTGGTCAATTACTCTGCAATTCTCACTCTCTCGCTCTTGAAAAGTCTTTTTCAGACTGGAGCAGGAGGAGTAACAGATGCCAGCAGTTTTGTTGTATTTAGCCAAATCCTATGATCTATTAATTTTGCCTGTTTGACGTGACCTAGACTGACAGTTTCACAATGCTGTGGGCACACAGGCAAAGGCGCAACTGAAGCTCACTGTTGGCTGTGTTATGCCAGGCCTCACCAGGACTAACGATGCCTTTTGATCTAGATCATTAAGGTCAGATTGTGTAGAAAATTTGAGACACGCTGAAAATATTTAGCTAAATGTGTAATTAATCCTGCCTAGTTGTATTGACCAAGCCACCAAACTTTGTATACAGATGAACAAAGCAAGGAGATCTAATCAACTAAACTTAGTGACGATTTAGTCGTACATGGCCAATGCTTCCTTTTGTAGCTACGCTGAAGTTTGTTGGGAATATCTAAAACTACACAGCCACAAAAAATGAAGAAGTCAGACATATTGGGTCACACCAAGATCTTTCTAGCTTGTTATTTTCTGTTTGGCAGCAACCAGTAATAAACAACTGGGGAAAAGCGTAGAACAGGACAAGTACGTAGCAGTACAGTCCCTAGATTATTCTCATTTACAACTCAAGAGTGCTTTGATATTTCCTTCAGGCTTTGCACATCTTTGTATATTTGTGTATTTGTAAATTTTCAACACAAACTCCCAGCAGTCACAGCAGGCTGCATTGGGTTTAACAACGCCATGTGAGAAGTCGTCTTTCCCTTTTGATGCGTCTCAGCTTGGCATGTATTGTTTTCACCAGATGCTCCTGCTGCTTCTGTCAGAAGTGATGAACAGTTGTCACCTCATCAGTCTTCACACCACTCATGATTTTTCTAGAGCTCTGCTATCTTCTCTGAGCTGAAGAGTTGTGGGTTGTTTTTTTTTAATAGGAAAGCCACTGTATACCTCTTTTTTATTTTCATTAGTTCTTATTAGTCTTGGCAGATTTAGTTTTTATTAGTCTGGGTCGTTTTTTGCAAGGTGTTTCTCAACCTATTTGTAGCTGGTCAAAGACAATGATCCTTTCTGTGTCTTCCTCTGTATCTTCCTTATGTGGATACAACTTGCTTTTCAAATTATGCTCTTCGAGTTAAAATAACTTGTCTGATCCAGTTCAGTTTGCTTCCTTTTAGATTTTTCCTTAAGTCTTTTTGGCATAGATGGCCTGTGTTTGCTGACACCTATAAGCATATAATCTGCAAAGACTTTCAGCTACCTCTCTTTTAATGAGATACCTAATTTTTATGCATTTCTCTCCTCTGAAATGAAGCACAGTGAAAGTGATTTTTTCTGTCTGGTTGGTAGCAAAGCTGTTGAATTCACATTATGTTCCATTTCCTGTTGTTCCACTTTACATCTTTCTTTTTATAACTGTCATCACTGAATCCAGTTCCTCCAGCTGCACTTTATTGTCTTTCGCTGTTCACACTAGCATCAGAGCTGGTAAAACTACCCTTACCTCTCTAGGAGAGGAATGACTTAAGATACTTCTATTTACCATCAAGAAGTGCCTGATATTTTAGCTCTGAGGTTTAGGTCACGTAGGTAATTTATGTGTGAAGTAAAGTCTGCAAAGGCTTTTGAGCAGCAAGAAAACTTTTAATCACTCCAGCCAGAATTCTGCATTAATAGTGTGAAACCCCTAACTTGAAACATCGGCTTTCTTAGCAGGTTTTGTGGTATATGGGAGAAGACTGATCTTTAGGTAACGAACAGTTCCTGTTTAAGAACTTCACACAGTGGTCAAGTTGCATTGATTTATTTCTATTCCCCAGGTCCACATTACAAATAGCACATTTTAGACTTCAAGAAAGAAAGGCAAATAGCCAAATTCCACTTCATCAATCAAATGTCTATAAAAGGTATGGATCAAATGGCAATAAAAGTAGAAAAGACCAAAATGTATATATTTTCTATCTAACCAAAGTGGTTTGGGCTTGTTTACCTAATGTTTTACGAAATAACCTGAACAGAAATAAATGCTAGTAGCCTAATGGGCTACGTACAAACACACTTCAGTTGTATTTCACTGAATGACCAGCCAATTACAAAGACATGTGTGCAAAAACAGTTGTTTTTTTTAAAGGGCCAGTTTTTTGAACCAAGACACATCACAGAGCAAAGGTTTTCAAGAATTTCTCTCCAATATTCCAGACCAGTGAAATGTGTTGCTTCAGGAAAAAAAAAAAAAAAAAGGAGAACAATATTACTGCACTTTATTTTATACTTGGGCAAGTTGGCATTGTCAATCAAAATTAAGTTGTACAGAACTTAATTAGAAACAAAATTATCTAAAAATCAAGAAATTCAATTTAGGCCAATTCCTGATTTCAGTGGGATATCTGCCTGAGTAAGGAACACAGGATATGGCCTTCTGTTTGAAGGAATCTCATTTTCTCCAGCACATAGTTAACCAAGGAATCCCATTTCAGTTATTCTAAAGAGTTTTTCCTAATATCACAATTAAAATTAGCCTGTATGAAGCTCACTGAAAGCTTGATCCTCTTAAATAAACTCTCTAATGAACCACACAAATTCACACTAACAGTGAAGGCAGACTAACAGTGTATATCTTTTGTACAAAAAAAAAAAATCCACCATAAAAAATAGCAATCATATCCAGATTTGTACTTGATCGTGAAATATTCCAATTGTACTATACAGTACGTTTACTTGCAAAAAAAAAAAAACAACAAACCTAGTATTTTGGGTTTTTTTAATTCCTAACACTTGAAATGTTTAAGAAAACTGCAGAATCACTATACATATTGCACTTCTCTGGTAAGCTGGGCTACTACGCTTCGTGGCAAAAACAACCAGGTACACCTACTGAGTAAAACTGTATTTTTCTAATCCAAAAAAGGAACTGAATTTCTTTCCTGCAGCTTTCATAAGAACTGTAACAATAGTCTTTGCAGGGTCTTCTAGGCTTTGTTTCTGAAGGATTGCTGTGTTACTTGTTACAGAATCCTTTTTTTTTTAATCAACAAAACTCAAGGTAATGAATAGATTTAACATACAGTACACCATCTTCCTTCAGTCACAAACAAAATGAAGACAACACAAGTCATTAATATAGTTACGCTTCAGGTGACTGTTGCTTTAAAAATAGTTCACTTCAATGGCAAGTTACAATTTTCTCAAAGCAAACAAAACCAATAATGAACTATTTGTTTTGAGTGGATAGCGTTAATCTTTTGCAGCTTGGTTTAACGTTTGATTCCTTACACTGAAAAATCTTAGTACATTTGCTCCAGCGTCAGAGAAAATGATGCAGTTTTAGAAAAAAAGCTTTCAAAATGCTTGACACAAACAAGCTATTTATTCTTCAAGTTCTTTGTCAAAGATGTTACTAAAACCTTCTGTCCATTTCATGAACACAGAAAGGATCCCAGGATGTCTTGAGTCAAAGTGGTCCATGAAGAAATTCTTTGGAATGTCTTAAGATTGGCTATAACTAGAGTTCTGGCTACCATTTGGACCCTGTTCTCCTTCACTGTTTGGAAGAAAAAAACAAACAAAAACAGGTGTCTTCAAAAAGCAGCATCATATTACATTTTTGTCTTTTTTTTTTAATTAAAAAAATACAGTATTCTGAAAGTACTAAAAACCTTTTGAAGGAAAATACTTCAACATATACACAAATAGGTTAAGATATTCTGCTCAGGTTCATAAAAAATGCAAAGGTTCTTCTCAGCATGCATAAATAACTTCTGCATATTTATTCAAATACAAATTTCAATATATCCCCATGCAGCTGCCTGCTGAATCCACTTCTGAAGTCAACATTTCAAAGTTCACATTACATAAGCATGTGCAGAGGAATTTGCATGTGCAGATTCCCAACAGTGATATTTAATCCCAGTAATTAAATGCGACATCAAGCAGGCCCGATTCCAATGAATCTGGCCCAGCCACAGAGCCTCACACTGCGGTTCCTTACATTTGCTAAGCTGTATTGATCACGTTCTAATCACATTAACACTCTTCATAAAACAATGGATGTTCTGCTTCTCACTAGCTCCTGAACAATCAGACTGGCTATTTGTAATAGAAAGGTCTGCGCTGTAAAAACATACACTATACTTCAAATTAAACATTTACTCATTCTTAAGAGAGCAGTCCACAGTACCTGTTTGGAGGTGGTTTTGGCTTAGGCATTTTACTAAGAATAGTAGCCATCTCTTTCCTCTCATCAAAGTTCTTCCACTGCTCATACAGCTTCAGAATAACCCTGATTATTTCTAAAATCTGATTAGAAAGAAAAGAGGTCCTAAGGTCAGACACAATAGTGATTTTATCTTTGTCATAATCAGTTTAAGTGTGTAATTAATTAAACATGCCCCAAACTGAAATTAAGCAGCACAATTTTCATATTACAAACAGAGCTGTCTCACGTTTAATCTGGTCTGGCAATCAACCATTTCTCTAATTAGTTTTTTTATTTAATTGTGAATGGAAGCCTGAACAGAATACTTTCCCTCCCATTCAACTGTATATACCACTTCTCCTCCACAAGCTAAATGACTTTTTATTTATTTATTTGCAACTACTGCCACAGCTTGTAACTATGCAACTGGGAAAATACGGACACCTGGCAGCATGACTGCAGCTAGATGACCATGGATTGCCAATACAGTAACTGATGATTATCAGTGTTCTGTACACATCAGAGGCACAGTGTAGGAAAAAAAAAAGCCCCAAACCACAAAACATTGGTCTGAATTCTCTCCTTCCAAGAAATAAAAAGCCAAGGAGTGTCTAAATACTTACATTATTATTGTTATTGTTATTCTATTCCTATATTTTCTTACTCTATTCTTATATACATATAATAAAAATTCTTGAACTTTCACATTCCACTTCTGGAAGCATAAGCATTCTCTACCAGTTTAGACATTTTCTATCTAATGCACCTCAACTACCTTAATTTCCTATTAAATTTCTAGTGCAATATTCTATATAGAGGTGGATAATGTTTGGTTCATAATTTATTTCGTCATTCTCTAATTACTAAATTAGACTTCTTTCTTCTTTTTAATACATGGACTTTGATTAAGTGCTAGAACAATATATATCTTTGAAACAAAAAGTCATAGTTGGCTAAGAGGTCCATGGTGTAAAAAAAAAAAAAAAAAAAAAATCAAGCTTAGATTGTACCACTGGCCTGAGAACCAAGACATGTTAATATTCACACATGTTCAGTATCAAGCTTATGGAAACCTTATCTGTCAAACATAGGTTGATTCTCCTCTCATGCCAGTTTATTATCTCCCTGCTTTTACATGCATGACAGCATAATTCACAAAGCTCCTGATGCAACAGAGCATCCACACTGTGCTTAAATTTGAAGATGAATCCTGGAATACAAATACAATGCCAGGATATCATCAGTGGGATAAAGGGCAATACCAAGGGCACAGAGGCCAAAGGTACGTCTCATCCATAATATGCTACTTAATTCCAGACCCTCAGTTTCAAAAGAGCTAGACTGAAAAATATGTGCAGAGTGAAACAGTGTGATAAGGAGCATTAGTACTAGTTTGGCTTGCTTACTGGAGCTAAACAAAGGTTAAAGAAGTCAACATAAAAAATAAAAGGAACTAGTGAAGATGAAGAACATTGCTGGCTTGAGAACAACTGCACCGTGGAACCTGATAAATTTATGAAGGGATTATTTGACACAGAATTTGCAATAGCAAGGAACTCAACTGAATGACCTTGGCGTCCCCCTGTTTAACATTGACTGAAGTCACAGTACTGAAAACAGTACAGTCACATCCTGCAAGTGTCAAGAATGTTTTACACTCTGCTATACTACATACATTTATAGGGAGAAAATGAGAACAGTATGTAGGCACGATGCTGAAAGGCCAATCAGTAAATCACAAGCACTAGAATTTAAAAGTCAAAATCGTGCTGGCAATCTTGAATTGGGAATTCTTTTTCTGGCAAAAAATGCAAAGGATAGTGTTTTTATATTTCCATCTGAAAAACGGCAACACCATGCTGTTATGCAATGGTTCTGTCTTGGCTTCCAGAGCAGGGTTATAACCGAATGACCTGACATCGTCTCCCTCCCCGAAAGATCTACCTAATTTCAACAGCACCTCGCATATGATCACTGAATGAAGTTCAAATCAGTACTGCGGACATTTAAGACAGTAGTTTTATAACCATGACTGACATTCCTGGTCAGTCCGTAACAGGTGGCAGAGAGTAAAAACAGAGTACCTTTTCCATATCCACAGACAGCTCAGCAAACCATTGCCTTGCATCCTTCTGCTGAACAACACAGGCCACGTGTAGGCAAGCTGCAAAGATCAGGTGACACGGATATTGAACAAAGATCCACTCGATACAGTTAGAAACATTCTATTTTTTATAAATACTAGACAGGTCAACAGAGAAAACTCTGGATTAATTATCTGGTTTTTCTTCAAGATTTTTTTAAGTTGCAAGGCTACAGTGTCAGCACTGTATGAAACGCAAACTGAAGCACCTTATGAGGGCACTCCAAGGAATGCTTGTTGATGGGATAGCACACAGAACACATCCATTTAAACATGACAAGAGACATTGCTTGTGTTACTTACCTAGAGCTATCATGAAAGGAGGGTACAGCAGACAAAGATCAGTTCTATATGTATCATTCACTATCCTCCTGTGCAAAAAAGAACTTGTAAGTATCCTCCTATTCACCGTTAGACTATATGACTTCAAAAACTGCTGTGAGTTTATAAATATTTTGTCGGTTTCCCAGATGGTAGAAGCAGTGAGGCTGCAGGGCAAAACAGCAAGGGAAGAGATCGCTTCCCTTGTAAAAATCTCTAAAAGCCTTTCATTTTTTAATTTTTTTTTTCTTGTAGTCACAGCAGAAGTTAATTTGGAAGCACTATTATAGTACCATAAATGTCTTTCTGCAGAGAATGTTTATGTATACCATGAAATAATTATCCCTGCTTCACAAATAAGTAAGGGCAAGCATAAAAGTAGTATTTTTACTGTCTTTCTGTATTTGAGAAACAGTTAAAGAATAAGAGTTCTGCTAACACAGCTAAAAATCCCTATATACTGCTTTGACCTCCTATGTCGAGATACAACAGAAAGCCAACGTTGGTATTACCTCGACTTACAGTCACCATTCAGTAGTGAAAAAACCTGTGTTATTAGAGCTAGTCTAAAAATAAAAATTAGACAAAATAAAATCATTACAGCGTTAAAGACAGAATAAGCTAAGTCAGGGATATATACCCGCATAGGTTAACTACGGCACCCTTTGTATTCAAATATGGCTAAGCCTGCTTTTGCTTTTCAATCACCTTTGAAGCCTAACTGTTAAACACTTGCTTGCCTTCTTGCTGAAAGGAGGCACTATTGTTAGTCATTGTCTTCATTACCATGCAAGAGGTAGCAGCATGTCTTCTTGTCCCATATCTTGCACATATTGGAGCAAAGGTCTATAAGGATGATATACTATCAAACAGCAGTCCTAGGAAAAATGTCAACGGGGTAAAAATTAGATTACAATGCAGAATGTGTTGTCAGTCCATATTAAAAACATTTGGATTACAAGTCAATTACTATTTTTTTTAAGTAGCATTCTGACACCTAACCCTGCTCTAATGAGGGCAGTGCTCTCTCTAGAATACCATTACATAGCATGGTTGCCAGTCTGTCAATGTCCTTCCCCTAAGAGACAGAGAAAGCCACATCTGCAGCACACTGAAATCTCATTTGCTTACAAACCCGTAATTCCCACTTGGAAATACAAAACACTGCCAGAAAACAGTCTGTCACTAAATACCATACATGGAAAGCATGCCAAAATAATTGACACTGGTTTGGAAAGAATGAAAAGAAAAAAATCCACTGCTCTCAAATCCCAGCTTTTCAGGCCCAGGTTGGTGTAAACAAGAAGGAATAACCCTTTTGCTGAATGCAGTATATGGATACTATAGAGAAAAGGCGCAATAAATTACATGTGTTGAACAGTGAAGTGAGACACAGTTATTATACATACTATATATTGCATAATGTACTGGAAAAATAAGTTAACCACAAAATGTAACTTCTTGTAAATGCAGTTACTTGTGATAAAACTCCTGTATACAAAACTCAGGAGTTACTGCCATGTATAGCAGAGGTATCAAAGACTAAATCTAAACAGGATATCTAAAAAGGGGTTATAACAACTGTAGGCACAAACAAAAACTTCGGTCTGACCTCCTCTGTGTCCTGTTCCCAAAACATATTCTTTCTCAGTTGCTGCCTAACTCACTAAGCTCCGCTCTCGTTTCTCTCTCCACACTTAAGCAGAAGCACTCCAGCACAGTGAGCTCGGTGCCTAACCCATCCAAGTCCAAGCAATACGCAGAAATTGGGCACCACTTTACCCAAGCCCCCAAAGAAGCCTGGGCTGCAACCTTTCCACTGCCTTAGAAAACACAGCAATGGGATAGTAACTCTTACAAAAAGCAGGTACAGCTCCTTTCTTTGAAAATGCCTGGAAGCAAATGTCACATTGCGCTCCTTTCCAACAGCCTAAATGTTATAGCACCATCTCAGAAAAGGGGAGGCCCTGAATTCAGTTTCTTCCTCAAAGGATTCAAACCCACATCTCACTTCCTAGAAGATTCCTCTAATTACCAGGTTACAGAGTAGCCTGAGTGGGATACTACACGTTCCACTGAAGCTGGAACGTAAATATATAGCTCCAGATTCTTCCAGGCAAGAAGAAGGATGCATAGAAAAAATAAAACTCTTTATGCTCTTGACTGGCCATTTATCTGGAGAAATAAGGACACTGACATCTTAGTCTCTGCATCAGGACTTATATACAATTACCTTTCTTTTAAAAACAGAAGAGTTCTGGAAACAGAACTTATGCTTTACTCTTCCCAACAGTGCTCTAACCACTAGGATACAGAGCCACACACACTCCTCCCATCCCCACTGCTCCCACAATCTGCCCTCTTTCTCTTGAGAAGTCCAGCTTCAACGCAAGGTGAGAATGCCCTCACTCAGCTTAGATGACAGCACAGTAATTATGCCATTCTGCTGCATGTTAGCCCTGCATGGACATCATTCTAAAATTGGAGTGGGGAAAAAAAATACAGCATAATGCATATTTCATAGCACAAAATTCAAAATATTCATCAGTAAAATGTAAACTGATGCAACAGGGGGAAAAATTAAAATCACAAAAAAAAAACCCACCTACCATTAATTCTAAGAGATAGAATTCACATTCTAGTATCTGCAAGGAAGTAAAATCACAGTTAAACAGCAGCATGTTTCAGACAGCAGAAGGAATTAACTGGCATCCAGTTTAACATCACAAACGCACAAGAATTCTCAACAGATTTTTCCAACAGTCCTAAATGCATTTCACCTGAAACTACAAAACCAAACAAAATCAAACTATTATTAGCCATTGCCTGACCACCAGTCATAATAACAATGCATTTAAACATTCTGGATCAAGTTTAAGGTGTAAGACTACTTCATTGGCAGTACTTGTCTGATTTGTTTCAACACCCAGCAGCAGCAAAATGTTCACAGTGTATAAACACTTAACAACAATAGAGAACTCCTTTTGTAGAATTAGAGCCTCTTCATCAGGCCACCAACATGCCAAATCACATTTTAAATTGTTTTCAGATTTAATTTCATATGAAATATTATGTCCAATTTTAGCAATTAAATCATCTCTCATTTTCCATGGAGATAGTGATGTATTAGTGATATCAAGCAAAAGACTGGACTGCTTTGGCTATAGGAAAGCAGTACTCCTAAATATATTTCCATTTGCCTTTATCTGTAAAATAGCAGTGCAGTTTTATTTGTCATTTATTTATCATTTGCCTTTCTAGATTGGGTGAAAAGAAAACCAATAAAAAAGTAGTATTTGTCACCATCATTCTAAAAATAATTAGATCTGTTTAACTTCCAAAATACGACAGCACAGATCAAAACTGGTTTCAAGAAAAACTACAAAACTTCCCAGCATTGTGACTGAGAATGCCTTGAAAACCACTGGTAAATCTAAATTTTAAATAACATATAAAAATTATTTTTCAAAAGCCATTACATTTCAAAGACAAAAATAAAACTGCTTTCTGTAAGCCAACTGCTCCTGTGTGCAAGCTTGGAAGCATCCCAGGTGCAAGGGCTATTTACCTTCCCTGGAGCAATATATCTGTAAACAAGAACATTCAAAAATGATAAATCTCTTTTATCATCACACTACATAAAAATTACTATTTCAGTCACCCAGTCATGTCACTTCTCTTCACAGCAGTCCTATCAACAATTTAAGGGAAGGAGGTTATATAAGATTTATTACTTTTAAAATAACTTTCCCAATAATCTATCCAAAACTAATTATGTTTGGATAGTTGTACTCACCTGACATATGAGTATGAAAACATTTCTTTCTTAGAATTTAAAAGACAGGATTTTCTGCTGACAAATTTAAGTCTTTTAACTTATTTGATCAAGTTGTATTTCGAACAGCATACTTACATGGTTCATCCTATAAGGAAACTCCTTCGGAAAGGCATACGAAAACCTAGTTTTCACTACAGTAAAGAGAAATCAGTATGTTAAAAATGATGCAATTAATACTTTTCCTTCTTTTCCCTTCTGTTAATTCATCTGTATATATCCCTTCACATCCATTTGGCAGCACAACTGCTTGCAGTACAAAAGGTTTGTATTTGAAAGAGAAAAGTTAAGTTAAGATTTAAGATCCTGAAAGCAAACGAGGATTTTTTTTGCTTTCACCTGAAACCCAGATTTGCACAGATACACTTGTCTGCTGCTTTGGGCACTATTAAATCTTCTGGTTAACCACCAACTAGTTTATGGGCAACTAACTTTCCACAAGTTATCATTCACAGAGCTATCTACCTACTGATGTCACTCCAAATCTGGTGATCTCTTCAGGATCTCAGTTCCAACACTAAATCCAAATGGAATTTTCAGGTGGGATTTTTTACATAGGCTTGATCCTTCAACATGCAAGATTTTAAACCACATAATGAAGTCTTAGAAAAGCAAGACTGAGAGCAGGGTGAGGGAGCTCAGCCAAGAAATCTTGTATGTCCCGATGTAAAGAGTTTGGATATGCAAAAAACAGGCTCAAATTCAAAGCAAGAAGTCAATTCACCCCACTTCCATGATTATCAGGGCAGATAAATGTCCTAGGCACTGGATTATCAGATATTTCAGGGGTGTTTCTCTCCTTTAGAGAGACACCTAAGCATCTGCTTAGGCATATGATATGATTCAAGACACATGCCTCCAAGAGAATGTTCAAATATATCCTCAGTTTTCTAGTTATGATGATCCCTGATTTAGTTATCTAATTATCCTTATGCATTTTACAAGGAGAACAGGTACAAAGAGTGCACTGCTAAGAATTATGTTAAGTTGCAAAAATAGAGTGATCTCATATTAGAATGCTGAGCAAAGAAAAACTAAGCAACTTGAGGATGTGGATTTGAGATTTGTTCAAGTGAAGCATTTAAAAATATATTTTAAGTCCCTGTCCTCCAAGGAACACAGGTAACATTTAACATCCTGGAAGTGGACAATATTCCTTATATTAATGACACATAGTATATTATGAATTGATACTACTTCCGGAAAATCATTATGTCATTCACTTTGATGAAAAGACAGCGTCAGTCCCCTGGGCTAAAGACTTCAACATTTAGACCTATGGCAGACTTTGATAGAAAATTTGCTGTAGGACAATAAGACTAAGCTACTGGTTGCAAATTTTAATTATTTCAAGAAAGAGACAAAGTAATAAAGCAGGTTTCTCAAGAAGCATGCAAACTGAAGAGATACATAGTTAAAAAAATAAACCACTTTCAGGGGAAAGATGGGGAAACAAAACATCTTTCTCCACAAAGCAAGCTGCAGAAACAACCATACAGAGGGGTCCTTTTAGTGAGCTGTGGAAACAGAGCGAAAAACATTTGAAGAGGTTGCCAGAAACCAACCTGAGATTATCTTCCTTACAAAGGAAGTATGTGTTACTAACTTCATACTTCTACCTAACTAAAAGCAAACAAACCTTTTCAACCAACCACTATTATGCTAGTCACCCCTTTTGTTAGCTTTCTTTCACTTGTGTCGCCTCTCTCTTTCACCTAAATTGCTGCGTGCTACTGAAGCAACTCCGGTAAAGGAAGACCAGGTAGAATAAAAGACATAAAAGCTAGGAGAAAGCCTGTTGCTTTTTGTCCCCACTTCCATGCAATGCAAAGTACTTATCAGGGCAGGCAGGGCTTCTAGGTTTGAAGGAAGAACTGCGGGGGAAAACTTCTGCAGGATTCTGAGGCTTGGGATTTTCAGAAGCAGCACAGCTCAGGACTAGAAGTCCAAGTAAAATCAGCTACTGCATATTTACCAAAATCCTTTTAACTTTCTTACTGATGCATTAAAACTCCCACACAGATCTGTGCTTTGACATGCTACTGATGTAAAAACAGCAACTCTTATTGCTAAGTCCAGTACTGGTCTTGGTCACGCTGGCACTGAAGACGCATTTCAGCTTCTGGTGGTGGAACTGTCATAGGGCCAGCCCCATGGACTGATATACTTACTGCATGTGGAGGCTACAGATGCAGCCAGTCACCTGTCCCCTCAATGGCTAAAAGGGATTTTGAAAGTGCTGACCTACATTTTGAAGAGCACAGCCACGAACTGCCTATTGAAAGCAGCTGGACCTTCTGGGTCAAATTATAGCATCCAGTTAAGGAAGCCATAACTTTAAGACCTTGATGGAGGAGATGCAAGTTACAGGAACTGTGATATATAAGGCAAGTGGGAAAGATAAATAATTAAGTAACTACAGCATGATTTTATTGCATTTATTTGTGAACCTATGTTATAACATATAGGTTATAAAATGTATTTTTAGAAATAAATATCATGTGCAAAGACTAATTTTATGATGCGGGGGGAAAAAAAGGAGTAAAAAAAAATTAGAAGGTATACAGCCTATCAAAAATTCTGAAAAAAAGTACTTCCATGAAGCCATACTTTTTATAGAACAGACAAATAAAGCCCTAAGTTTCCAATTCTATCTTTGAGTAGTTCAGAATTCCATTTACTACTCAAGACTGTTTATAAACCTCAACAGTTTAACTTTATTACTTCATTTTTATTTATGTTTGGCATAAGTTTCAAAGAGCATTAACCAAAACTAATACAGAAAGAACCCTTCCGTTTTATTCTAAATGGCTTTAACTGGCTCCTAGGAGTCAACACGCAAGCACCCCCATGACTTGATAAAAAGCTACCTTTTAAAAACAAGCACACACAAAAAAAAACACACACAAAGAAAATGTCTGCTCTCCCTATAGAGATAATACAGTATTATGAATATAATGTATACAGTATAATGAAAATCACCGATACTTACATACAGAAGTAGCAGCAGAAATCAACCTTGTATTTGAAACAACACCAAATTCCTGAAGAAAAAGAATGGTAAATGAGGTGAACCACCTGAAATACCATATACTCACACTGTTATCAAATTAAAATAATGGCTTACTAAACTGGGCTTCTTGATATAGTATTTCTTTTTTCCCCCCACCCCTTTTTCTTTCCTTTTTTTTTTTTTTTCCTCTTAAGGTGAACAGGGTAAACTCTTAGGTAAAGAGTTTTTTCACTGATTAGTTACTTTGTTGTTTGAGTTGTGAGAAATAGCAAACATTTATGAAAGGTACTAAAGCCACAAAAGCTCAGTTGGCTAACACTCTACATATAAAATAGACAAGAGGGCTTCAAAAAGGTATGTTTTTTTTCCTTAACCAACTTGGAGAGAAAACTGCCTTTAGAAACCTGTCATTAACTACCTTTTTTTTTTTAATGTTCCCATGAAGCCTTAGCTCCTCTGCTGACATAATCAGCAAGCTGAAAATTTTCTGTTTACAATGTTCTTTTAGAGAAGTGCATAGGTGAATCATTACTGCTATAGCTTCCCTCTAAAGTTGCAGAAGCTTTAGCGTAAGGAAGGCTGCACAGAATTCTAGTATTTGTTCTAAAATATAAGGTACATCTGTATATATACACTCTATGTCTGTACTTTCTTGAAGACTTAATTAACAGGCTGATAAAAAAACACTCTCTCCAATATTCTGCATCTTTCTCCTTTCCTTCATCTCTTCCAAACACTGAAAGGTATTGCAATATTTGTACAGACAACAGTGTCACATGTGGGCACTGGTTTAGTAGGACTGCTTCTACCACCCACTAGGTATTGGAGTTCCTCCTGTAAAATTCATTAATGCCAACATATCACAAATTGGCTAATCTGGGTTTTTTCCATTACGCAGACATTTCTCAAACAGCTGAAAAACTTCTTGCATTACAGAGGACTAAGAGCAGCGCCCAGCTGATGCTAACTCTCCTTATGATAATGTCTCGAAGACAGCATATGAGCTACAACATACTTTTAAGTCAAGTAATGAAAGTGTGGTAAACTCTGAGGATCCCTCACTATATGAAAGGGAAAAGGATAATTAGTAAAATATTTCAAATTATGTTTTAAAGTTTGAGTAAACATAAATAAGGAAGAACACACCAGAAAGGAGACACTGCACAATTTAAGATATAGTGTATGTAAATATGTAAACACTGTATCACAGTGAAACAGCCATTTAAAAGACTCTTCCGAATTTTCAGAGGCCCTTCAGGGTTAGTAATTCGGACAAAACTGTGAAAGATCAAACACTAAATAACATGTCTAAAGACCTTCTCCATCTCCTTTTCTTAAATGCTATAGAAATCTACACAAAAAAAGAGAAGGTTTCAACCCCCAAAGCATGAAGAATGACAAAAAAATTTAAAAGTCCTAAACGTTTTCTCTCTCATACATCACATAATTTTACATTAAAAAATTGTAATACTTCATACCTCTACTTTGGATGCCAAAAACACACACGTAGGAGCCATTAATACTGGATCTATACTTTTTAGGGAATATCTGAAATGTTATAACAAAATTATAATATGTTGTTTCATACACGTAGAACGATTAATCTATTAAGAGCACCACACCTCCTTTTGAAAAAGCAAAGCTTAAGTTAACTTTATTAGCATAAAAGCTTTACACCATCCAGAAAATAAAAGTGGCACTGTTTTTAATACAGAACTGCATTTTTAAAGGGCTACCAAAATGTGCCTAGCAAATGTTTCATTCTTGTACCATCATAGTAAACAGTCCTACCTGGCATAGAATCTCTTGAAGTAGACTGTAGCAGTGGCAATAACTTGTTGTCTTAATTTAAGATGTTCACCTAAAGCCTGGATAACTTAAAAAAAAATGAACAAAAGCTTGAGTTGAGTTTTTACAACAGTTTGACACCAAATAGCAAAGGATCTCAAAACATGACTAGTGCTGGGGATTCTAAGGAGCAGCAGCACAGTCTTCTCCCTCAGTTCAGATACGTTGTTCTGGTGAGACAACATGTTGCTGTAAACCTACAGACCTGCAGGTGAAGAAGCAGCACTGCATCCTGAAGCTTGTGGACACCTTCAAAAAGGGAAAGGTAACTTGACTTCATTGTGTACGAAGTGATTATGACCTTTAAGAAGATGACAACACAAATCTCAGAAGGGTAAAGCTTGGGTATTCCATTTTAGAGCAAAGCAAACTCAAACACGTAAAATACAAGTCTATGGCTTTTCAGTGCCATGCAAAATGGATGGTTTTTTTCAAACAACTAACGCTGCCAACACAAACATGGTCATTAAATTTGGCAGAGGCAGCAGGTGTTAAAAAAGTAACATATTTAGTCTAGGGAGAGGGGGTGGGAGACCAGAGGACGCAGTCAGCTGCTCCATCGCAGTGGTCCTCTGCCAGTTGGCCAAGAAACAACCCTGGTGTCATCTGTGCAGGTAGCTCTTGTTTGGCCTCCCAGGCAAAGGAAAGGTGCCAAGCAAATTAGATGCATCAAGCTGGGATTAAGAGCGGGGATTGGATACAGTGAATGGTACAGTGAAACATAAGGTTGTTACTTGTTATTTTTCCCATACTTCTTCGCGTCCGTTATTCTGAGCAAGACTCAGCTGTGTCAAGACTCCCTCTTCTTTTTCTCCTCCCTCACCAGAAATGTCCACAACAATAATTTAAAATACACTTAAGTATATATTTAGAATATGTACAGCAATATCAAGACAGCAACCACTGATGAGAAAAGCAAACAATTCTGTTATTAGTAATTGCTAAATTCTTAGTCTCTACTTAAGCACACAAATCCAGATTTTTTTCCCTCTGCTCTTATGCCGTACCCCTTGGGAATAGTCAGGGTACACCCTACCCTCACTTCTAAGGAACATCACAGCATTTTAAAATACGCAAGTATCAAGGGTATTGTTGTCTAGAAAAGGGTTGAACGTAGGAGAAAAGGACAAAACCACCCAGAACAGCACTGATGATTGGCAACTTTTTTTTTTTTTAAACAGGAAAAGGTAACTAATTTGTCACCCACTATGATTACCCAAAGCAACATTAAGTCCCTGTCCATGTCATATCACTCTTTTCCTAAAGAGAAGAATGCCAAATTGAGACTAGCTTGCCAGTGACAGTAGGACAAACAACACTGCCAGAAAGGAGGTTAAGCCTGCTATGCAATGTCTGTACAAATATTAAAGTATTTATCAGCATATCTTGGGAGGTCTGAAAGGATTTTTCCCTTTGATTTGACCATGGGGTTACTTGTAGGACCATTTGTCCTACTACTATGGCATCAGAAAAACTCAAGTATTAAGCTAAACAGAATTCTCCAAATATGTTTCTCACTCCCATGGGATTTTCAGGAACGGTTAGGCCATCTGCTGTCAGAGAAAAATCAAGTCTGATTTAGAGAAAAAAATGGACAAGAGCCTAGAGAGACTTAATGAAATGGAAGCTTGTATGCTGGGAAAAAGTCCAATACTTGTAATTAATTTTTTTAATATTTTAAAATAAACTATTGGGTTATTTATTCCCTTACATTTACAAAATAAGTGGTTTCAGTGGGGTTTTTTCAATAAAAATTGTTTTAAATCTGAGTATCTTGAAGCCTGTAACACAAACATTACAGATTCTGCTCTAAATCAGAAAGAGAAATCAATTAATGAGGTTTTCAACCAAAAACTCTATTAAGACTCGGTAATCCAAAGAAAGAAATCAGCATCAGTTTCCTTTTTCGAACTATTTAGAAGATGGCAGATTTCCTTCTCTACAGCACTAACATTCTGAGTAGTTGTGCATGGCCATACAATCCATTGGTGATCTATTGCACTTGCTTTCCAACACGGAGGCAGCAGGGAACTGCCTCTCTCCAGGCAATTTTTTGGCTGCTTTTGGGAACAACCATCTTCCTGGGCAGACACATGCTGAACGTGGACAAGCAGTGGCCAAGACTCGTGCCCCTACCCAGGTAATGCAGGAGGTGGGAGACGGGAAAGGGAGGCTCTATAAACCCAAAGCAGGGTCCCTATTCAGAGGCAAGAGATGATACAACACATATCAAGGGCTTGAATGCTGCAAGCTCTGCCTGAGCTCCCACCAGTACAGAGCAGCCCCTGACTGTCCTCCCCATGAAGGTGCCTCTCTCTGCCACAGCAGAGGTGAAAGCCCAGCACCACTCTCTCCTCCAGGGTCGGCTGTGTTCATACGTGCACAAGGGAGATGCTGGCAGAGCTGTTCTCCAGCTGTCGCAGGTCACACACTGTACCTTCAGGGGAGGCAAGGCGTGCCAAGGAAAAGGAGCCTGAGAATCACAAACTGAAACTGCCTTGTCTACTTTGTAAATCTTTGTTTACTCAAGAAAAACACTGCTGTGAAACATTTTTTAAAAGCGTATTTCATAATTCAAATTAATACTAGTGAAAATTAGCACAGAAATACAGCTTCAGAAATATCAGTACCCCGTTTTTTCTTTTTGCATTATGAAGCTATGACACTGTGTTTTAACCTCAAGGAATTTCAGGAATTGATCGAATAGGTAAATCATTGCTAGCTTGGTTTCCTGGTGCTGTATCAGCGATAACACAGATATATCCACAGCAATCAGATTTGCAGCATACGCATTTATTATAAAAATAGCCAAGCTATGAGAGAAGCTGGGATAAGTATCTTCCACAGATATCATTCCAGCACTGACATAAGATCTTCCAGTGGCCTTGGGAAAGTCACTTAACTTCTCTGTCTCAAGTTTGGCCAGAGAGCTGAAAAAAGAAGCGTTCTGTACTTTAAAGGACTGCTGTGAAAAATATTTAAAGAGCTGTCTGCAAACAAATGACTACTTAGCAATATCCTTTGCTTAGGGAAATTTTTTTTAAATGCTGAACAATTGCACAGAAAAGAGTTTAAGTGCCTGCGTAATCTGATATGCTCCAGCGCGGCCATTCATATAGTTAAATGCTTTCAGGATCAAGTAAGTCTCAGATCAAGCCTCAAACTCTTTGGGAAAACAGGCTGTCTGCCAACAGCTCTCAGAAACTTGTAGACAATTTGAGAACCAGCCGGTGCTGAGGAATCAGTCACAAGGCAAGACACAGGCTGTGATGCAGGATTCAAAGAACTTAGCTGAACACAAGTAACAAGTTTCCAAGCTTTGCTGTTTAAGAGACAGCAGAGGTCAGCTAAAATACTTACCACAGCCACAGAGCCCACCAAAAGCCCAGTTTGAGTATTAACGCTTGACACTGAGCCTTTAACATGCAGTTTAATTAGCTTAGCAGTTTTTGCTTGCTTCTCCTCCTTTTATGTTTTTGGCAAGAGCTTCTTGAAAATAAGAAAATGTACTATGTTTTGTACCATCACAGCTTAAAACGTTATATATGCAGATAATTTGCCTGCAAGTTCTCCTAAACTTGTGTTAATACAACTAACAAATGCCAATGTTATTGATATTCCAGTTCTTTTTTAAAATAGATTGTGAAAGCATATGTAAGATCACGAGAACACTACATTCTCTAAGCAATTCGAACTTGTATTTAGACATGGCAGATACTGTACAGATTTTATGGCAAAAATAAAACAGTTTTACCATTAGTAAAAAATATCTGTAGTTTCCAATATTCTTCTTCAGTCAGAAACTTCAAGTCTTTCTGGCGTTCCTTCAATAGATCCTGTTTATCCAAAATCCATTGTAAACTACAGGAAGGGAAAATTATTTCAGCAACTCTTTGTCAACATAATATCGAGCGACCCCTGTACAGGCTACAGATTGCAGGCCGGGGCTAGAGGTCTGGTGACCTTTAACCAAACCGCATGCCCTCTTCTCAAGCAAATGTTCGCTTGGGTTGTCAAAGTTAGACATCTAGAAAAACACACTAACTAGCAGGGACTTAGATTAGCCTTTACCTACAGTACACTAAACCGGCTGTATAGCTCTTACGCGCTGTCAGTGACTCGCAAAGTTTACGTTATATTTAGAACACCACGGGCACCTCGACGCGCTCCGCACGAGGGATTTTAACGCCGCTGGCCGCTGGGGATACACCGATCCCCCCGGGACTGCAACCGCCCGCGCTCGATCGCTGGAGACCAAGGCAGCGCGGGCACGGACACCGGGACGCGACGCCTCTCCCGGAGAGCCCAAACACTTTGAAAGCCACGGCGAAGCCAGGCCGGCC